CCCCCCCCCCCCACCTCCCCTCATTGTCCTTATCCACAACCCCTGCCCCCGCACTTTATCATCCCCCTTCCCCTCCCTTTCCCACTTTTATCAATACCATCCTCCTGCACCCCTCCTTGTCCCTGCCCACCCCCATGCCCTCGCGCTTTGCCAATCCCCTTTCCAAAGGCTCCTGGGCGTGGGCTCCTGCAGCGGCTCCTTGTACGCCTACGTCGTCCGTTCCGCTGCGGAAGACGTCTCGCGCCTCTACCCCCACGCGTCCACGGCCCTCGCCCTCCGACCGCTGCCGCTCGTGAGGGCGGTCCTGGCCGGAGCGGGCGCGCTCGCGGCGGCGCTAGCGGCGCTCGCCTTCGCGCTAGGGGTCCCGGTGCAGGACGTGGCGAGCGCCGTGCTGTGGTGGGAGGGGGGCCCCGCGGCCGGGGTCTCCGCCAGGTGGGGGGGGGGTGGTTCCGGCAGCAGCTTTGCGTTGTAGTCATGTTTTCGTGATTAGGCGCACGCACGTCCGTCGGGATGTGTAGGTATGTATGGCGGGAGGGAGCCTAGGCACGCGGCGCTTGCGCGCGCGCTTCCGGCTGGTACGGGGCTTGCGAATCATCATTGATTACATACCCGGTCAGAGCGGTCGATTGCTAATTTTACGGAATCACACACACGCACGTTGTGCGCGGGGAAGGTAGGTAAGTGAGCACCGGTGTGTTTCGCTTGTAGCGCACGGGTTTCGGCGGTTGGAGGCGGGGTGTGCGATTTTTGTCGAGAAGGGGGAGGGGGGGGGGCAGGCGCTGTCTCCGCCTTCCGCGGGATAGGGAGTGNGGGGGGGGGGGGGGGGGGGCAGGCGCTGTCTCCGCCTTCCGCGGGATAGGGAGTGCCGAGTGTTGTTGTTGGGTGGTGATACGTTGTGTCGGTCGCCTGTGTGCAGGGCGCGTGTGTTGTACGATATCTTGGGCGTTGTTTGGGGTCTTTGAGTGTGTTTCTTGTCGGTACGTTAGCGTCGTGTTGATAGAGGCGGTGCAATGTGTGCGTGTTTGTTTGCGTCTGATTTCGTGACTTTCGGCTTCCTGCCGTGCGGTGCGGGGTGGCGTGCTGTACTTGTTCTTGGTCGTGTTTTTTTTTTTTCTTTGGAATCTCTATGTTCGTACTACTATTAACCCTTCTGGCCCTGGGCTCCTCGCCGCCAATAAAAATGACTAGCCTGGGACTGTCAGCAATGTGTGGGGTTGGCCAATCCGCAGGCACCAAAAAGTACAGACGTGGTGCTGATNTCGGCCTCCCTAGCGAGACAGCCCCAGCGCTTGCGAGAGCAGCGAAGGTGAAGAGAGTTGCTCCCAGCCAGGCTGCGGCCCTCACGTGCCTTGTATTACCCGCCATGCATACCCCAACGCGGCGCTTGTGGGGGTGTGTGCACAAGCTTTCGCTGCAGACCTGCAGGTCTTTGTAGGCGTCCTGCCTGCTGTGCAACTCCCTTGCATTTGGTTCGGGATATTTTCCTCGTCATCCCCTCCTTGAGAAGACCGGGCTATTGAGCCAGAGTGATAAAAAAAATGATAAAAAAAAAGTGACGGTAGCCACGGAAGGGTTAATAGACTATGCTGCTGTTTTCTCCTTCTATTTCCGTGCAAAAGTTTTTCTATTCTTGCCGTGACAAGCCAAGGATGGATTTTGACATCGGCGAAGAGTAGGCTAGCGGTACGCGACAATTTTGGTTGTTGCTGTTTATCGGCAGGCGGTTGGACGAAACATTCGAAGCACCATTCCGATGATGATCATTGCAGCACGACCGTCGCGGCGCATCGATGGAGGAGGTAGACCCGTCCCAACGTAGATGATGGATGGGCCATGTTTCGTTATTTTTTTTGTTGTGTCCATTTCCTTTGGTCTAGGGCGCAATGCATCGATTGACAGAAACAAACGTGACAGGCACCACACCCGCGTGGACTGCCTCCATCACGTCGACACACGCACGCCCCCAATGAAGACCGCCGAAGGCGGAATATGCAAAGGGGACCCTGTATGCCGCTTGCCTGCCAAACGTCTGTCAACGTTCAAGTAGCCGTCCAACAACTGACGGGGAAACACCCACCACAGCGTCGAAGGCGGACTCTGCAAAAAGGACCGTGTTGCAGCTTGCCTGTCAAACGCCTTGTCAACGTTCAACTAGCCGTCCAGCAACTAACGACCGGTAAACATCTACGTTACCACCGCGTCTGACGAGGACAATTTCTCTTCTTTTCACCCGGCTGGCAGCGACGAAGAGATCACCTTGTCTGATTTGGGGGCGACTCGATCCGCCTCCCACCTCTTGCCACTAAATGGCTTGGAGCCAAAGCAGATATTGAACATGTGGAGCTCGTGGTAAGTGACGTTCACTCGCTCAGGAGATCATGAAGAGGTGAATCGACTCGCCGTCAGCCGGTCGAGTTCCGGTTGTCACACCCTAGAAGTCTTTTTCTTGGCCAACAACTAAGAGAAGGCCGGGGGGGGCGTCCTCTTGTTTTGCAATGCTTTCGTTCTTGGACCCTTGAGTAGGGGGGGGGGTGTACTCATAGTCGTGCATGCCGTAGTCGTTAGACCATTGACCTCGCATCCCTNCTGCTAAGGGTTTTCGGCATCTCGTGCTTACTTCCTTGCGTACGGATGAAAGCTGCGTNTCGACCCCGCACAACATGATCTACTCGACCACCATTATGGTTACCGCCAAAAAAATAACCAGAGGTAAAAAAAAAACGGTAACCTGGTTGCCGAGTTCACGAAGTGAATTGGCTTGTTTTACAACGTCGTTGCCAAACGACGAAAACCCAACCCCGATGGCAAACACCGAGGGGGGCGGCTTGTTTTACAACGTCGTTGCCAAGCGACGAGAACCCAAGGGGGGGGCGTCAATGGCCTTTTGAGGGAGGTCGCATCCCACCAACATCTGTCATGGACGATTCCTTCCCCCTTGCAAATTCCTCGTGCGCTTGATTACACTTCGTGCTTGGTCGACTGCTGCTGGCCCTCTTTCACGTCAGCTAGCACCCCGAACAGTCACACCCACCGTATTTTCCCCGCTTCAAATCATTCAAACTCTGAAGCAACAGCAAGCTTCCCTGACAAGTACATGCATCCTTCATTCATCTCTGATTCTCAAGCATCATCCCGCAAGACTTGTCATGCTTCCTTCTCCCTACAATGCTGCCTGGTCGTTACGCCATTCCACGTGGTACATGATGAGTCAGGGCGGGTCTTGCAATCAATCTAAACCAATCCATCTACAGCAGCAGATCCCCACCTCGTTCTAGAGAACGATCGCCTCTTGCTTTTTTTTTTTGTGGCGACTGGCTCCAAACAAACACCTCAGCATGGCGTGCTACTAGCGTATGCAACTCCCCCGTAGGCACCTCTCACGCTTCCCACCCACAAGGGGAAAGATGCCCGTTGCATAGGGAAAGGTCTCGCAGGAGGAGCTTGCAGTCCTCCTCCTCGCCAACGTTACGGGTCGAAATACATATGCCGCAGCACGCGCTAGGAGAGGATGACACCGTTCGTTGTCGTTGTTGTGGTCGTCTATCTTGGCTGTGCGACAGCAACTACAACAACACGGCCTCCCTCTGACGTTTTTTTCCAGGTCCCGTAGAGCCGCCACCTCCGGCCTGCTTGTACTAGGTAGTAAGGGGAGCTGACACTCCGCTAGTTGGCACTGCAGGCTCGTCGTTTATGCCACAGATAACTTAGGCCCTTGCGGTCATTTTCCAAGTGAAATTAGGAAAGTCGGTTACATGGTGGGCAACAGCCCAGACCACCCAATCCAGGTGAACGCAGGAAAATCGGTCTACATGGATTATCAGCCCAGACTTACCACCCCCAATCCAAGCGAAATCAGTAGAATCGGTCTACATGGTGGACAAATAGCCAAGAACACCGCCAATCCAACCAAGCCTAACAATTCTGCTTCCCTCCCTCCTCGCTCTCCACTCCAAATAGGTCTCGTGCGACCTTGCTTGCACGTACGTGCGGCAGAACCGCGAGGGTCATCATCATCCTCATGTGCAGTTCTGCCGCGACAAATACCGCCCTTATCGGGTGGCATCGCCCCGGTCTCTTCTTCCTTCGCTTCTATTGTGGTAGCTGATACCGACAGACCTTGGGCGCGAGATCCGATCTCGAGCACCGCACGACGAGCACACTCGGTGCTGCACGAGTTAGTCGGTCCTGCTGACACGGTAGTTGCGACGGGAATGCCCTCCCTCCCCTGATAGCAGCTTCCAGTCTAGGCTGCCATCCTCCCCTGTCCCCTACCCTTCTCTCCCTCTCCCCCCCCATCTGACTACACGTGTTGATCTTTTCTGCTCGCTCGCCCGAATCGGTGGTGCGTGAAAAAATAAAAATCGTTCCCGTCGCCACTGACATCCTCGGCACGTCGAAGCCACAAAGGCTGTGTATCACGAACAAGGCTATTCTACATTGTTGCGCTAGACGTCAATAATTATGGTGTCCACCCCGTTGTGGTGCCAAAAGCGCATGTACAGTACTAAATAGTGCTTGCCTGCCTCGCCTAACTATAAATATCAACTAGTTCCACCGCTTGTAGAGCGCGTTCTTCTGCTAGCAGCTTGACCTTTTATCCCCCCCCGCCCCTGCCCCAACGCACAACCTCTCCCCCTCCCTCCAGCTGAAACCCCACTCCATCTTGACAAATTTCACGCCCAAAACCGGCGGACGATCAATCGCAAACCAACCAGTGTTCTTTGGCTGGCTGTGACAAAAAAAAAAGAGAACAGTCGTGATGATGATACAGCAGCTTCCCTTCCCTCTTGACACCCTTCCTCCAATTGACACCCCCTAAACCTGACCTACGCACCAAACATCACTCAGCAAAACAAAAAAAAACTCCTCCCACCCGAAAATAGTATCGACAACCTCTCCCAGTCCTCGGGGCCAAAATATGAAAGACCTTTGCTCTCGCGTGGGTATTTGCACAGCACGCAGCAGTAGCGTTTAGCAATTCAGCTACAAAAGAAAACGATTTATCAGAAGCCCCAACCTTACTCCTTTTCCTGTATCCCGAGGTAGCCGAACCCACCATCGGAAATAGTATCGACAGCTAGCTGTTATCTTCTCCATTCATCTCCTCCATCACTAAACTAAACCAAGAATCGTTCTGACCCCCAAAAAAAACAAAACTTGAATGAATAAACCATTTTTTGTCGCCTCCCGTTACAACATAAAAACTTTGTTACCTCCCTTCTAGCACTACTGGTTGGGAAACACCCGCCCCGCATTCGATTTTATTCAAATGAGCAATCAATTTTGGCATTCAGGCATCCCCCACACCTCCGCTGACTAAAAAATCGAAAGTCCCGACCAAACTGTACAGTTTTTGGGCGAAACGATTAATGATCTGTCTGCTGAAAATGGCGTTGTTTGCAACTAATAGCTTTCTGCCCCCCCCACGCCCCTTCACCCTGCTGTGATGTAGCTAACAATGCGAATGTCCACTATTGTACATATATTTTGGACACTCTTCGTTGGACAAAACTCTTCCACTCCCATTTGCTGGATGGACCCTTACTGTTTGCCTCCTCTTTCTACCCGGAACAAAACTCGCCGCCGGCAAACGCATGCTCAGATGGAGAAACTGGGAGCATCCCCGACCACATCCGTGGCATCATCATCAGGGCAGACTGCTTGCTGCACACGATCCGACCCCATCACGAGAACGCAAGCTCCAAAAGGAACAAACTTTCCACGTGCAACGACAGAAGAGTACACAAGCACGTAATTCTTCCAAGTCCGAAGAACAAATAAAGTGCAAACCGCGACAGGTTTTGTTGCATCAAAATAGCGAGAATCCCAAATCCCAAGGACAAGGCGGTAGTATCTCCGTGAACGACTTTCGACAAAGTTCGTGTCCTAACGATTCAACCAACAAAACGAAACAAAATGATTCCCGGATAGGTTACTGCGACGACGACGGTGGCGTTGACCAAAAAACAAAAAATAACGAACAAAAAAAAAGTTGAAAAAATTCACCACAAAACTTCTCCTCCCGTGCCTGTTCAGAAACAAACAAACCTGATACTAGACATATTATTCACAAACACAAACGAAAAGTACATATGGAACAGCAGCAGCAGCAGCAGCAGCAGCAGCAGCACAGCCTTTCGCACGCTGCGTACGCGTCATTTCGTCATCAGACGGATGCCAATCTACGGCACNGCGATTGCGCCTGTATTTTTTTGTGGCGCACCTTTTCCTGCCTCCTCTCCTTGAGGACATGTGCATGATACGTCACAAGCGCGAATGATGGGAGTCCCCCCCTGCTTTTACTGTGGTCCGGATTCGACGAGCACGTACCCCCCCCCCCCCCCCCCCCCCCCCCCTTCTAGGTCTAGGCGGCAAGACCATCAACCGGCGCGAGTTTCGCGCGTCTTCCAGCTATTTTCTTGCCACGGTACGCGAGGTGTGGGGTAGTAAATGTTCGGGCGTCGCCGTTGCGCGATCAAATGGCACCGCGAAGTCACATTGGCGAAGACCGAAGTATGTCGGGAAAGCGGCAGCCAGGTACAAAATCTCGGCGACCTCGCTCGCATTCACGCACACACCCAACAGCAAACAAAACGATAAAATTCTAGGCCGTGGGGGCTGTATGCGTCCCGCCAATCCAACAAACGAAAGCGTGCCACGGCGACAAGCTTCCGCGAGAAGCTACGAAAGCGGTGTGAGACGTCTCTTCTGTCAAAAGTTGTCGTCATTGCTGTCGCTGTAGGAGCGGGAAGCCTGGTCCTCGGTGCTCTCGTCGTCCTCGTCGATCAAAGAACCCGTGTCGTCAGAGTCGTTCAGGGACACCTGCCGTCGTCCAAAGAAAAAAAAAACAAGATAGGGGGAGCAAGGAATCGGGTTGACAGACCGCTATGACATGGCGTTGTTGTTGTTGTTGTTGTTGTTGTTGTTGTTGTTGTTGTTGTCGAAAACGCTGTCTATTGGCGAAAGGGTCGATCGATCGAGTGCCATGGAGCACGATCGGAACGTGCTGTGGACCAACTTTCGTTCATTGAATCGCTCGCTCGACGTGCGCGGACGCCGCGTTCCGAATGTGCCATGGTAGAGCGCACGACCATAAAACACGGCCACGGAAAGTAAAACCTGGTGGACCAGGACAAGTGTCGCCGCCGCTTTCCACGACGCTTCTCGATAGCTTCCGGTCGTCGATTGGTTCAGACCATCGCTGGTCGGGGTGCAGGCAGCAGCGGCGGAGGTAGATAGCCCCAGCAGAGGCAGCCGCGGTTGTGTGGGGTCAAGAGAGTGTCGAAGCCACGGTGCGGTGCCCAAGCTGTTTACGAAGGAGAACATCGTTGTCAACGACAACGACCAGCACCACCACCACCACCACCAACTACACCAAACACGACAACGACGACGACAACGACGACAGCAACAGCAACAACAACAACAACAACAACAACAACAACAACAACAACAACAACACAAACGACAACAGTGAACCTCAAAACGACCCTTGGAACACTTTTCCACACACGATCGACATACCTCGTCGTCGTCGCTGCTCGTGCCGCCCCCAGACCGGTTCAGGTCATCGCTCCCCGACATGCCAGAAGACGACCCGCCCGAGCCGCTGCCACTACCGCTGCGGTTGCGATTCTGCACCACAGGGGTAGACGGAAATAGTGAAAGCGAGTGGGAGTGGGAATGGAGATAGTGAAAGCGAGTGGGAATGGAGATGCGCGACAAGTGATTGCCGACCTTTGGGCTCTTATTTGTCGGGTGGGAGGTATCGCCCGGTACTACTCCAGGCGTCAGAACAAGGAGGTGCGGTTCATGCAATTCTGTGATTCGCTTGGGAAGACAGACGCCAGTGGCGAAGGGCCGGCAACATCGGTGTCCCTCAACCTCGTCGGCTTGCCGGTGCACTCCCCATCACCACCGGCGTACTACCAAGAAGACTTGGTCACATGAAACGAAGCCCTGTTGTCCACCCCCTACGTACACATGCCTCTAGAGGACGCTTGGTCAATACTTACCTCTAAGCAAAGCAAAANCCCCCTGAGAGCCTGGACCGGTGAGAACCCGGCGTGCTCCGTCCCGGCATTGTAGGGATGCGAGGTTAATGGTCTAAGGAATACGGCATGCACGACAATGAGTACATCCCCCCCTGCATTTCTTCCTCCTCTACCGGACTACGCCGCCAACTCACTCGACTAGAGCTGCCGCCGCCGCCAGAAGGACCCTTGGATCCCCTCCTCCCTCCTCCAACGCCTCCCGTATTCCCCCTCCGGCCGCCGCCGCCACCGCCGCCGCCGGAGCCCATGCCGCCACGCGAGCTGCGCGAGCTGCTGCCGCCGCCGGTGCCTCCCTGGCTGCCGCCGCGACTGCCGCTTGTGCCTGAGGCGCCCTGGGTGGTGCTGCCCTCGAACCCGGGGAACTGCTTCCTGAGGAGCTCTTCCTCAATGGCGCTCTCGTTTTCGGGCTCCCTGCCGATGAACTGGGTATGGGGGTAGGGGGGTTGGTTTGTGGCCTTTTGGGGGGAAGGGGGGGGGGGCTTACTGCTCCTAGACAGCACTAGGCACACGGTTAAGCAATTTAAGAGCGGAGGGGGTGGGATGGGGGAGAGAGAGAGAGATAGAGAGAGAGCATCCACTTGACGATGGCCAAAGCGGCACTGGCTGTTGTTTCTTCTGGGAAAAACATGGACAACAAGGACAGCAGTGCCGGCCAAATGCGAACGAAACTGACAGCAACAGCAGCAGCACCAGCACCAGCACCAGCAATACACATCTACACAAACGCAAGCTCCAGCAACAGTGAATATCCCACAACTACTCCAGTCTCAACAGCCCTTTCACCTGCTTGAGCTGCTCCCGCCGCACCCTCTCCGCGTTTCGATTCCGCTTCCTCTCGTACTCCTCCAGCTCCTCCATCTCCGACTCGTGGAAGCGATCTAGGTTGTGCTCCAAGAAGTCCAGGTTGCGGAAGCGGTCCACGTACACCTCGTAGTACCGACGCAGCTCGCCCTCAAGCTTGTCCAGCTCGTCGGCGAACGCCGGACGGTGCGCCTTTTTCGACCAAGGGAGGGTGTTGTGCTATTATGGCGGGTGTTGCACGTCATCAGCCACGCACCGCAGTGTTACCATGGGAGCCACGTTACGTCTTCCCTAAAAACTTGTATGCTTGTGCCGTAGGTCGACGCCATTCATGGCGTCCGACACTAAATAGTCCGGTCGGCTACATGTAATTTAGGTACCAAGCCAACTGTTTTTGGTGGTTTTATCCTTTTTCTCTGGCGGGACAGCGTTTTTTCTCGAACTTTCTTCTGCAACGGTTACTTACAGATGCAATTGAGCGAGTTACATTTATTCATCAGCGCCACGCCTGGCTGGTTGCTTCACCGGCCTGATTGACCTAGGTTCGGACGAGAGACACGCCTTTGAGTGGAAGACGAAGCCAGCCAACCACGACTTCTTATCCTGAACCGCCCCTCCTCCCGCCGTTGGTGAAACATAGTCGTTTCGCCCATACTCAGGAAATCGATGCGAAGTCTCGAGACTTACGACGATTGAATGGTGCTATCACAATACCCACCGCCCTGGGCTTCACCCCTTTCGTATTGGCCTTTTGTCATTGCCCCCCCTTTCCCTCCTGGAATTTCTCCTTGTCCCCCCCCCCCCCTTTTCCCTCCTCTCACCTGCAAAGACTTGAGGCGTTTTTCTCCCCTTTCTAACTCGTTCCTCTTCTTCTTGATCTTAGCGTTCAGCTCTGCCTCGTCCGCCTCTAGGTCCTCGCACTGCCTACGCATAGCGGCAATGTTGTCCCTGCGCGCATTGCAAAAACACACACCCGTTTGCACAAACGAACGTGACAGACCCACGTGACGGAAAAATCTTTGAAAACGCCCATCCTCTTCAGAGAACAACAACAACAACAACAACAACAACAACAATGCGGGACCAACACAAGCATACGCCCATCAACCTGACGCCTGAAATAATCAGACAGCTGGTAGACACGTGCCGTGTCTTCTCCCAATGGAGCCAAGAGCTCGCCCCTTCCAACTGGTCTTCCGGGAGAGATACCGCGGTTGCACGTGGGAGTGGGGTCCATACCACGCTCAGCCTCACTCTCTCACCCTCTCTTTCCCAATCTTCCCGAACTACTCCTACGATGTAACATCGTTGGTGGAGACAAAAATACAGCATGCCTACATACGACTCTCACACCCGAGTGGGGTGCATACCACAGTCAGTCCCACGCACCACTTCGTCCTTCCCGAACTACTCTTTCAGCAAAACCGCTGTTGGAGAAAAAAAGAAGCAGATTCATTATTACGCGTATATATGCATACCACATGACATTATTTCACGCAGAGAAAGTACGACAAGGAAGCCCACCTTGATCGCGCCAATATCTCCCGCCCCCCGGATTCGATGAGTTCGCTCTCTCGCGTTGAGCCCAGGCTCCCCGAAACGGCCTGTGCGTGTTTGGGTTTGGGTCGCGTTCGCACCATCAGTTTGATGAGTTCGCTTGTCCCATTGGGAGTCGAAGCCGTTGACAGCTTCGACGTTCGACGGCAGCCGTGCAACGAGAGGATTACTTGCTATACGGTACTCGTGGGCGGTTGTGCTTCGTTGCCTGGGTACGTGATTGGTGCAGGGGGGCTGGCCTGTCACTTCACCCAAACGACGCCGCAATAAACACACACACAAAAAAAAAAAATTTGGGAAATTGTGCCCACTTCCGAGAACCTTTTTCTTGCTTCGAATCACGAACGCCTTTACCTCAGGCTTGCTGCCGTTTGCAAGGCGCGAATTCAATTGAATTGGTACGCCACCCGTTCTGACCAAAGCACGAGGTCACTCCTTTGTTCTACGCCCCCCCCCTCCACCCTCCCCGGCGTTTGCCATCGGGGTTGGGTTTTCGTCGCCTGGCAACGACGTTGTAAAACAAGCCGCCCCCCCCGGTGTTTGCCATCGGGATTGGGTTTTCGTCGCTTGGCAAAGACGTTGTAAAACAAGCCAATTCACTTCGTGAACTCGGCAACCAGGTTACCG